CTTGCCAAAATTATATTCCTCTGCTCTGCTGAAGTTCGTGGGGGCATTTTGAATCCTTTCTGCCTCAATTGCACTGAAATAATATTTAATTTCTTAAACTAAACAAAGAAAAAATTATAATTGGTTCGCTTATAATTCATTAAAAAAAGTGGCCCACATTAGGTTAATAAATTATAATGATGTTAGGGTTTTAATAATGCAAAAATAATGTATTGATAAATGACTTTTACGTTGTTTTAGCGCTTTTTCAAATTAGTTTTATGTCATCCCTTTTCTTTACGAAATGATAAAAGAAATTTTTTTAACTAGTGTTATTATCAGAATTGACTGAGTAAAATTTAATACGGTTTTCAAATAAATAAGGAAACAAAACAAAATATAATAATAAAAAAAATTAGTGTTATCGATTTATCTTACTATATATAAAAATCTAATGATAGTGTCGCAGTTTTTCACATTTTTATTGGCTGGAAAATCACGTGGTAGGATCCAGTTTTCCCACATTCATTTTCATATTGGTTCGGTTGTCATCAGCATAGAATTGATATNCTCATTATTGAAAAGACATTAGGTAATTAAATTAAGAAAATGGTAACACCAGTTCAGACTTTTAAATTAATATACTGTTCTCTAAATCTGAACTAAAATCTGTAGAATGTGCAATGAATTACCTTTGCAAATTCGAATAAGCCACTTCATATTGCAGACCCTGTTCTTTTAGAAGATGTTCGACGGGCTTAATCAATTCCGGTCTTAGGCGTGTCATCACTGGGGCACCAACAAATCTCGGTTCGTTCCATAGGTCAACCTTTTAATAAATAACAATTGAAAAGATCATAAAATCTAAATAATATAACAATCTCACATAAACAGGGATTCAGTTGAAAAATAAAATCATTCACATTCCAAATTCATTTTTTGAAAAAAAATTAACAATAAAGAAATACTCATTTTATGCATTCTTAATCTTCTCTTTATCTTGACAACTGAAATCTTGTGATATTTCCCAAAAAGCATTTTGTAGTCAAATATTAAACAAATTACATGATATATTGAATTGCATGTTCGATAATATAATTATATTTAAAAAGGCAAAACTCCAAG